CTCTCTCTCTCTCTCTCTCTCTCTCGCGCGCGCTCGCTCTCTCTCTCTCGCTCGCTCGTGCACACACACACGATGCGCAAAACTCCGAATTTGAACTGTCAATAGCAAATACTTAAACTAATATCAAAACAGTAGCTGATTCAGAAGCGCCAGATTGTCATAGCAAAGTCAGAATTACCTCCTCTCCTAGGTTCACGAAACGGTCGTCCATAAAATGCCTTGCTGTTCTGTTGTAAGTAATCTTAAAGATTCCTAATTGCATCTACTTTCGGAAGGCCAAATAAAGTGCTTTTGCTTTCGCCTAGAAACACACAGCGTCTCCCTGACATGGCTGCATCAACACTAACTGCGGTTACTGAAACCACGCCTTCTTTCTTTGCGTGCACATTTGGGCGCATTATGCAAATATTTCCACATAGTGAGGTAGATATGTGGGGCGTGTTTAAACGAGGCGTTTTAGGAGGGCGTGGACGAGTCTTAACTTTTATAAAGAATATCTCTTTGGGTTTGAGACTTTAGTCTTTGCAACTTTAGGGATCTTATTTATTCACGAACAGCTTGTAACACTCCAAAGAGAAAGGAAAACTTGAAATCGCATCATATGACCCCTTTAATTATATATCTGTCCTGAAGACAAGTTATTAGGAAAACTACTTTATGTGCAACTGAGTTGTATACAAGAATGTACGCTTTTAAATGTGATTATTATATCTGAAAATAACTAAAAGTTGAATGTAAAGGTTTGGGTTCTGTTTTAAATTGTAAACTCTTATATTATAGTAATGCACAAACTGAGAGGTTCCCTGTATAGTTCACAGCATTAGAAAAAACTTAAGTATCGGTAGATGTCATTCTGTATCATCTGAGAAATTTAGTATGAATTCTTGATGGACTAGTCCTGCACTAGCTATATTTTTTCTTGTTTGGATTTACATCACAGTAGGAAATAAAGGAACTGATGACCATAGGGATTTTAAAAATGATCAACATGCCTGTCTTTTTCTTGAAGCAAATTGAAATAAAATGCAATTACAAACACTACAGAAAAGTATTACCGGCTGTATACATCCAGCATCCCCTTGACGCTATATAGGACAAGCAATCTGGTGAATGATTTGACATGTGCAGTGCAGTGCATTTACCTGCTTTGAGATCTTTTCTTTAACTCTTTAGCTCTGACCCTCTTCTGCAAGTCCTCGAGTTTCCTGCAGGGCTCAATCTGGAGGCCAAGCTCGCTTTCATCTTCTGGAGGGCTTACAATGTCACAGAAGAACAGGGAAACATCAAAACCTCCTGGCTTTGTAAGGTGCATCAAGTCTATGACCACACCTGAGGAACAACAGAACATAGGTTATAAATTGTCCATCAGTAAGACTGTCATTTTCCCCTTCTATTCAGCCTACCTGTCTCTTTAAGGTCAGCAGCCTTTGTACGAGCCTGTCTGTCTTTAGCACCGTCTCCTCCGTGATGTTCATCCCTGCAAGTGAAGATCATCAGGCGCTTGTGTGACAGTCGCAACTTGATGTCACTGTAAAGGTTGGAGCAGCACCACAGAGCATCTCCGAGGGACGTTTCGCCACTGCCCATGGTCTTTTCAGCGAATTGAGCTCCTTTCTCACCCAGCAGTTTATCAATATCCAGTATGCATTGAGATCCTGAAAAGGGAATCAGTACGCGAGATAAATTTACCATCATATAGGCAATCTGAAAAGCACCAAGAGTTAGTTACCCACCAGGCGAATCCAAGTCGTGGTAGACGTAGACATGCTTGAAGGAATTTCTTGGATTCTTGCTCTGCTCAGTCCCATAGAACACTAAAGCGACCAGGTCTTTGTCACTGCTTATTATTTTACTAGTGTACACACTACGTACACACTAGATACAACAGAGAATAATGTCTATCAGATATGCACTGGAGAAAAACACAAGAATATTTGGTGAAAATAAAAGACAATGAATTAATAAAATGTTACAGATTGACTCACCTGCATAGTCATGTCAAAATTTGATGGCTCTCCATCCTCACCCTTGATGAACATCTCTTTGGATGCATCAACCAAAAACACCAGACTGTCGCGGCCACTGATTTTGTAATCCCCTAATAATTTAAAAGCAATTAAGATTTTCTTATTTAATCACATCTTCATTTCATACAAGTAAGTTAAGTTTAATAGAGTACAAAGCGTGCAACTTATATCACAGAAGACAATTAATGCAGTTAGCTGTGCTAACCTCCAGAATCCTCTTCGTCCTCCTCAACCTCATCGTCTTCGTTTTGATAGTACTCTCTCCTCTCCGCCATCACTGGTCGCTTTCGCCAAGAACCGTTTCAGGGTTGCTTTCAATTAAAGTTGGGGAAAAACAAACCACATTTTCTTAAATTTAAGATTAGCCACTTTTTTCTTTTCAGCAACAGAACTTTGTATTCCTTTACAACCGCGCATGCACGCATCCAGTCAGTGCGCCAGAATTTGAGTGACAGCTCCAATAGCGTATCAGAGACGACTATTGAACGGCAAGAACCAATGGCGAGACAAAAGCGGAGTGACTGGTTAATCCATGCACGAGGAAGTAAACATAAATGTTTCTGTGAACCGCGTAAACAGTTTAACAAAATACTAATTGTTTATCATTTGTAATAATAAAAAAATAAAAAAAATACTATTAAAAATTAAGGAGGTCTTAAAAAAAAGCTATTCGAGGTAGGAGTCGCTGAATCGGGAGTTTTGAACTGGCTTATTGAAATGAACTGTTCAAACAAATCGAATCTCGAACATGACTTCCGCTTACTAGTAGATTCTGTGGTGGGCATGAACACCAGCATGTTTGTTCTTATAAAATTCGCCATCTAGCGTTTTGGAGAATATTACAGCTGTTTGACAGCTGTCAGTGGTGGAAATTTTGATTCTTACAAGAGATTCGTTCATTTTCAGTTCGTTCACCAAAATGATTCGTTCAGATTCGTTCACTGATTCGTTCAGTGACCAATTCTTCATATTACATAAATACGCCAGCAGGTGCCGAAAAAGAGTGTCTTATCTGTTATCAATGTTTTCTTGCATATTTAACATTTTAATTGTTTGGTCAGACATTTAAACATTCATAAATCGGGGATTAAACTTTGAGTTATGTTCTGTATGCTAAATATGAATATATAAACAAGTTTATTTGCACAGTACCTATAACTGCGCTTTGCATCCGCTTTCTGCTGATTGCTGATCGAGATTGACAAGCTTGACTGACCCAGTACACTCTCATTCATTTCATTCACGAACGAGATGTACCTATGGAAAGCCGTTGTAACATTTAATCTATAAGCCGTACTAGTATCTATTTTCATGGTACCAGTACCTATTTTTTAGATACTAGTATCTTTTCCATTAAGTACTAGTACTTATTCATTAGGTACTAGTGCTTATTCTTTAGCTACTAGTGCTTATTCTTT